ATCGTATGACACACACACACACACACACACACACACACACACACACAGAGGGGGGGGGGGATCAAAGCAGAGCCTGAAATCCATTTTAATCAACTCGTCTGTAAGGATTTTTATTTTGCATTTAAATAATGGTTGAAGAGCAGCTTGTAAAAATAAATATGAGGGTGAGCAGAAAGCAGAACCGTTCCTTCTCTTTAAGATTGATCACATCTTAAATGAAAAACATTCAGCATCTTTGGCAGAGGTAACCCCTCCTCTTTGCAGCATCTCAGTTCTTCGCTCCAGCACTAGATGGAGACTCTGCTCTCTTAACTCTCCCAGACATCAGCAGAACCATTGGTGCTTTTTTTCTATTTCCCCCCATTTCCCTTCAGAACACAGGTAAACAGTGAAACACGTTTCCATGTGTGTGTGTCTCGACCTGCTGCTGGCATGATCTCCTTCAGATTGCACTTTATTGTCCTGCTCCAGTGTGTGTCGGTGCAGCAGTTTGACTCTGTTTCTGCTGTAGGTAGAATCTTAATGAAGAAATGTTAGAGTAGCTGCTTTTCTCATTTATGAATAGCAGCCATTTATTTTCTGTAGTTGTTTGGCAAAATTCAGCAGTTTCAGTTGTTTCTCCCTTCATTCACGAGTCCAGGGTTGTCACAGTTTGCAGAGTCCTGCTCTGCATGTTGAAGTGGGGGCTGCCATCTCCGCTCCGTCAGGCAGCTCAGCCCACAGATCCTCCCCACTCTGACTACACCTTGACGGCACTGCTGGCAGGTTTCCCCTCGTAGCTGTAAAGGAACGTAGCAACACTCACCAGCACTGCCCCGAAGAAAAACATCCTGAGGAAGAAGCAGCAACACAAACACATATATTTGAATAAACTGATAAAACAATCAGAAATCCAGCTCATTCTGTGTTCTCAGGATTACCCTGTGGGGTTAAAGTCGTTTAGGAGAAAGTAGGAGATGAGAGTGGACGTGATGATTGACAGCGAGGTGGCGAATCCTTTCAGAATGTTGTCTGCATATTTGATGACCACGGCAACGACCAGCCCACCCACAGCCTGCAGACAGACATCCCAGAGGTTAAAACCACTGAAACCAGAATAAAATGAATCACCTGTAAAACATTTACATGCAAACACAATCACTGCAGCTCAGTTTCAGTCAAAACATGCCTGAATCCAGAAAAAGATGAGACTGTCMAGAAAAAAAAGTAACGCAAACCAGCTGAAAAAGGATTCTCACATTTATCTCAACTTTTATTTCACTGCAGATAAATACAAACAGGTCAAGACCTTCAGCAGTTTTAAAAGTGCTTTTTTTAATGAAATTAAGTCAAAAATAAATATTAAAAACAATATTTGTTGCCCTCCAGGCACTCCGGCTTCCTCCCACAGACCAAAAACATGACTGTTAGGTTAATTGATAACTCTAAATTGTCCCTAGGTGTGAGTGAGAGAGGTTGTTTGTCTCTATGTGTGTCCCTGTGATGGACTTGTGACCTGTCCAGGGTGTACCCCGCCCCTCGCACTGTGACTGCTAGATA